GGTTAATCTTCATTAAAGAATTAACTATTATATAATAGTACTGTATTGATTATATCATGGTTAATCTTCATTAAAGAATTAACTATTATATAATAGTATTGTATTGATTATATAGTGGTTAATCTTCATTAAAGAATTAACTATTATATAATAGTATTGTATTGATTATGTAATGTTTAATCTTCTGTGAAGAATGTGAATTATATTAGTGAGCCTTGTATCAAGTTTTGGTTATATAGAAGTTACTCTTGTGGGAAGAATGTAGATTATATTACTTTACCTGGTATCAGGTATTGATTATATAGAGGTTAATATTGTGTGAAGAATGTGGATTATATTACTTGACCTGGTATCAAGTATTGATTATATAGAGGTTAATCTTGTGTGAAGAATGTAGATTATATTACTTTACCTGGTATCAAGTATTGATTATATAGAGGTTAATCTTGTGTGAAGAATGTAGATTATATTACTTTACCTGGTATCAAGTATTGATTATATAGAGGTTAATCTTGTGTGAAGAATGTAGATTATATTACTTTACCTGGTGTCAAGTATTGATTATATAGAGGTTAATCTTGTGTGAAGAATGTGGATTATATTACTTGACCTGGTATCAAGTATTGATTGTATAGAGGTTAATCTTGTGTGAAGAATGTGGATTATATTACTTGACCTGGTATCAAGTATTGATTATATAGAGGTTAATCTTGTGTGAAGAATGTGGATTATATTACTTGACCTGGTATCAAGTATTGAATATATAGAGGTTAATCTTGTGTGAAGAATGTGAATTATATTACTTGACCTGGTATTAAGTATTGATTATATAGAGGTTAATCTTGTGTGAAGAATGTGGATTATATTACTTGACCTGGTATCAAGTATTGATTATATAGAGGTTAATCTTGTGTGAAGAATGTGGATTATATTACTTGACCTGGTATCAAGTATTGATTATATAGAGGTTAATCTTGTGTGAAGAATGTGGATTATATTACTTGATTTGGTATCAAGTATTGATTATATAGAGGTTAATCTTGTGTGAAGAATGTGGATTATATTACTTGATTTGGTATCAAGTATTGATTATATAGAGGTTAATCTTGTGTGAAGAATGTGGATTATATTACTTGACCTGGTATCAAGTATTGATTATATAGTAGCCAATCCTTTGTTGAGAATGTTTTGTGAGTACTGTGAAGTTTATTTTATGGCCAGGTAGAATGTGTTATTTATCCAGTAACTACTCTCTTGTAAATAACGTGAAGTTTGTTTTGTGGCCAAGTCCACTGTATAGTTTATGTAACTGCTAATCTCTTATAAATAGGTGAAGTTTCTTATGTGGCGGAGTACAATGTATTTAGTATATAATAACTAATACCTTTTAAATAATGCAAATTTTGTTGTGTGGCTGTGTACAGTACTTTTTTTATACAGCAGTTAATCTATCATAAATAAAGTTTATTCTGTGACTGAGTGCAATGTAGTTTTTATATAACAGTTAATAGCTTGTAAGTAATATGAAATTTATGTTGTTGCTTGAATTGAAGACCTTTAGTAATATTAATTTTAAAAAAGCATTCCACAATTAAAATTTCCTTTGCATAGATTCGTTATGAAGTTGATCCAGCCTATCTCAGTAGAGGAGAAGATAAAGCTTTTTTGAAATACTTAGCTTATCATCATCTCCATATTGACGTTTGGGACGGCGAGTCATTGCTTTACATTGGGTCATCAGATGTTGATTTGAAGGTAGCTTTTTTTCTTTTTCTTAAAACAAACTATTTATGTTAAAGATCAGCAGGGAGAAATATTACCTGAAGTAGACCAACAGTAGTAGAAATCAGAAATCTGTGTCCTTTATCATGACATTCACTTTTCAGTTAATAAATATAATCAAGAATGTTTAGTTTAGATACATTTCATTAATGAAAGTTGTTTTTGTTTAGACTTTAGGACTGAAACATTCCGTGATGGAATTATCCTCATTTAGTAGTAAAGTAGAAATTATGAAACCTGAATCCCCAATTAGTGGTGAAGTAGGCATTATGAAACTGCTGTATTTATGTTTAGTAGTGAAGTAGGCATTATGAAACTGCTGTATTTATG